TAGACTAGTCCCTCTATCATCTAAAAATAATTCAAATCATTTAATTGAGTTTTAAAAAGGTTATTACGTTTTAGATGGTGTACGAACACTTTCGTGGGCCAATGTACATTAAATTCGGTACAAGTTCGAACGATTCCAGTGGCTCGCAGAGAAGCTCGCATTGATATCCGACAGAAGAATATAACCTAAATAAACAACGTATCACCTGAGCATTTCCAATTTCCAACAAGATCTCTCCGAATGTTGCGGAAGCACTCTGATGCGCATCATTGATTTAGCGATCGATTCTTACGATTCGCTCGGTTTCCACTTGAATCGGAACAGTCGCTGCTGTGCTTTAACATTCACGAAGACGCGACGCGTCGCTTCGTAGAGTCTTCAAGTCGATGAAAAAGCATTCTTTTCACCGAAGAGAACGAATAATCTTTAGGCGGTCGAATGCATTTTAATATATTCCTTTGGATCGTTTTCGCGCTTTAATCCTCATACTTTTCTCAGAGTAACCATTTATTTTCTGGACGTTATACGATTTCGTATTTCTTCCTGTTTGCGTTGCAAGATGCGCTACGTTAAATGTAGAGATACAAATGAAACGCAACTTATCAATTTCAAGCTTACAGGAAAACTGCGCGAAATGTTCGCAGAGTTTCGATGGTAGATGGATGGAAATGGATCAGAGTTTCTGATAAATACACTTTCGTCCACTACAGCTCGCTCTCAAGAATCTGAATTGTGAAAAAGTTGTGACAAAGCTGTGAAAAATATTAAAAAGTCCAACATAGTAAAGCGATAATCGAACGGAAAGAAATCGACAATTGGTCACCGTCCTCGAAGAGTTAATACGAGTTTAATCTACGTTAACAACAGTCGAACGAGAGTCTAACGATATCGGAGACATTCCGCGATGCGTATTGGCGATAATGGGTTCAAATAAGGAGGAATAAAAGAAGGAAGAAGAATAGACAAAGAATCGACTTGAACTCTATCCAACTCGAATTGAACTTCGCAGTACATCCGAGGGAATACGACGCGGTCTATATGGGCACCGGTGTCCCGTGGCCGAAATTCTGTGCCCGAAAAGTCACCGAACCGTGCGGGAAGATCAACGGATAAGAAGAGGGTTTCGTTTGATCGCGCGCGTCGCGTCGCTTGAAACGAGGTGAAAAACCAGCCCCGAAGTACCGTATCGTCTCCTTTGCTCTGGATCGGGCCCGAACAATCGTGCTCGCAACAAGAAAAACCCCTTTTTTTCGACGGCGATGCGCCGCGATGAACGCGTCACGATGATATTGGTATAATAATCGGGGCCCGGGCCGTGTGTATAGATTACACGAGACAATGGAGAGACTGAAAAGAGACAGAACGGGAATGGAAACCGAGAAAAGAAGCGAAGAACCGGCGGGGGTTGCCCGATTTCCATGCGCGTATGTGTGCCCAGGTGGTCGAGCACGGTAAATTATTTCATATCTGTTGACCCGGCGCGCTCATCTTTCTGATCTTCTGCTCCAAATGATTAATTAATCCGGAAAGAGTTTACTAGATGGTTATCCGGGGGCCATTGTAACCCGTTTGACCCCCTTTTGTGAGTTTTGCACGGCGCGTCCCGTGGCTGGGATGGGTCCGATCGGCATGGAAGTCTCTCACAGTCAGTTCTTAACGAGCTTCGATGCGTACACTGATCCCTTTTGTGTCCCGCCGCTGCAATGGCGGCTCGGCCGCGTCGGTGACCCAAACTCGTAGACAATTCCCCGCCCTTCTTTTATTCCTCCTTATTTGAATCCGCTATCGGCAATACGCATCGCGGAATGTCTCCGATATCGTTAGACTCTCGTTCGACTGTTTTTAACGTAGATTAACCCCTTAACCTACAACTACGGGCCGTAGTAGCCCGTAGTACGATGTGTTTTGTCCGTACGTTCGGTTAGTCGCCTAACGTACATGCGCGACCGAACTATTGTACGCTCGATTCGCGCTTCCTACGGCAAATTAATGAGGTGGAAGGGTCTCTAGTAGTCTTAGAGAACTTTATTTTTTGTGTTGTACTCTCTGCGAGCGCTGGTGGAAGAATGCTCTTCCAACGCTGGAAAGTCGTGGAAGAGCACCCGTGGATGGAGGTAGATTGTTTATTATTGGTCAAGGCACGAATCACCCCTTGGAGGGGGGTGTCTGCCTTGACCCTTGTTGGGGCCTGAGAGGGTTTCCCCAATGGTGGGACCTTTTTATGGCCCTTGTCTCTGGACGCAACACGATGATCGGGCCAAAAGTGAATATTACGGGCATAGCCCGTAATATAAATATTAATATTAGCGCCGGCGTCCTTTTAAAATTATAAATATTTGTGGAATATTTGATAAGTAATTACAACCGGATGCAATAATATATTGTAGTAGATGCAAGTACTACAAAAAGATTATTTATACAAAAATCAGTAATACAAAATTAATAATCTGCAATGGTGTGATACAATTCGAAACATTCTGGTAGATGTAAGGGAACTTTGCACTTCTTACACTCCCACGTTGTTTCTCTACGTTTTTTATTTTTATTTTTTTTTTTGGCAAACCCTACAAGGTTTCCACGCTCTTAATTTTGATGCTGTTGGGTCAATATGTTTTGGAAAACGAGCGTATTACACAAGTCGTGCGAATGGCTCGAAGGCTGCGCGAGCTTGTTTACGTTTTCGGCCCAACATTCTCGAACGTAAATCGTACGTTAGGGGGTTAAGCTCGCATTAACTCCTCGAGGACGGTGACCAATTTCTTTCCGTTCGATTATCGTTTTACCATGTTGCACGTGTTACCATGATTCGGACATTTTAACATTTTTCACAGCTTTGTCACAGCTTTTTCACAGTTAAGATTCGTGAGAGCAAACTGTAATGGACAAAAGTGTATTTATCAGGAAAAGCACAGTTCCATCGAAACTCTGTGAACATTTCGCGCAGTTTTACTTTATGCTTGAAATTGATAAGCTGGTTGTGTTTCATTTGTATCTCAACATTTAACGTAGCGCATCTTGCAACGCAAACAGGAAGAAATACGAAATCGTATAACGTCCAGAAAATAAATGGTTACTCTGCGAAAAGTATGAGGATTAAAGCGTGAAAATGATCCAAAGGAAGATATTAACCCTTTGCACTCGAAGCCATTTTAACCATAAATCTAAAATAATTTTCCTGACTTATGATATTTCCATTTTATACGACAAAGTGCATTTTATGCATATGAAATTGAATCTTGCGATAACTTGTGATAACAGTTACACTTTTAACGATTTTTTTAAATTTTAACTTCGTTAATATAAAAATTATCTTAGAACGCGAACTAACAATTTTAGTCACCTCCTAGTCACCACTCGAGTGCAAAGGGTTAATTGCGCGACCGCCCAAAGATTATTCGTTCTCTTCGATGAAAAGAATGCCTTTTCATCGAGCTTTCGATATTTTCGGTCTACAATGGGACACGCTTCTGGTAGTCCGGGACCGGCTGAAACAATGTACAGATCCGCGACACGATCGAACGGTTACCACGTCCTAAAAATCAGCGCATTAGTGTACGGCGTGTGGGTGGGAGCGGTGGGGTGATGCTTTTTAACCGTCGCCGGTTGTCATCCACGTGTCCTTTCAAACAATAACGAGAGGACAATGACTAGTTTGAAGTTCGCGGACAAAGCGGGTGTAGGCATGCTCAAATGGCACTTATAATGGCACTTATGAAAAGGAGCCGTGCCTAAACGTACCTGTATCCCCCGCAGATATATACGGCCGGTAATCGTGGGTACGATTGCAAAACCCTTTCACCGATCGGATTCATTGTGCGGCCCGATCCAGTACAACGCGTCCATTCTCGCTCGATAACCACGTACGGATCGCGCAAAGCCACGCTTCGGGCAGTTCTTCCACTTCCGATTATCCGTTACCATTTATTTCTTTCTTTTCTGCCCCGTACCAATGTTTGTATAGACCTCGCTCGATTCGATCCCACGAGGAAGCGTTTTCCTCCTATTATCCGGGCTCCGCGGAATTGTCAAGAGTATTCTTTCCTACAAGAGGATTCGTCTACGGTGGCCATTTTTCGGCCCTCGGGGATCTTTTCTTAACGGCGATTTAACGAGCCCGTCGATAGAACCCAAACCTAACTAAACCTCGATTATGGATCAGATTGTGTATCGTTGATGTGTGTTAGAAGTATTAGGTTGGCCAATAAGTCATTGCATTTTTTTCATGGATGGCAATACAGAAAAACGCGGTTACTTATTGACCAACCTAATGTACGATATCGATGATAAGCTAGTATGATATACTCATGTATTTAGCTTTCATTTTCAGTAACTATCAAGTAATTTCTCTTAGATGAGATGTTATATATATAATATTAATAATATTATTATATTAATATATATTATTATATTATATTATTAACCCTTAGGGGACCAAAACTATTTATTTCCAGTTTACACACTACCAAGTCCAGACTGTTTTCCAGACGGCGAGAAATTTTTTACTGAAAATTTTTGTATCAAATATAGAGAAGAGATATTCATCTTTTTAATAAAACTCCGTTTATATATTTTCATCGAAACAATCGTGCCTATTCTTCCAATGTTTACTGCCAGATTTTATGGTTTTACTGATTTCTGCCGCGTGTATGGCGGCATTGGACCGTTAAGAGTTAATATTATTTTATTCAATTTAACCTTGAAAATGAAAGATACGTACATGAGTTATATATAAAACATTTCATCATGATTTGATTTGATAGCCCTTGAAAACGAAAGATTACATGAGTACATCATAATTTATCATCGAGACGAAAGATCATCTATATTGCAAACATCTGAGAACGTACTATTTACGGGAACAAACGAGTCGAATAGATGAATCAAAATCACGATACAATAGGAGACAACACGTCGACCTAATTCCCAAAAAGTATTTTACAAGCTTTCTCACGTATCTTTCGTTGCCGATCGACGAGAACCCAATACTCGTTTCATCGTCGATCGACCCCGATTCTCGACAACGAGAGACTGCTACAGAAAAGAGGAAGAAGAGCCGAACGGAGATGTTCGGACCTCTAATTAACTCGATTCAGGGATCCCTGTGTTTGTGAAGCGAATCTTTGTTACTACGTCCCGATGGTAGCAAAGACAGGCGCGAGGGCGCACGCGCGTCCGGCTTGATCGAGGGTGAACACGGGTCTGAATAAGAACTTTTTACATGGCCACGAAAAATAAAGGACGTTTAGGGGTACCAGGGACGGAGAGACGGAGAAAGATAAGGTGAAAGAGAGGACACGAGGGGGAGGGGCGGGCAGGGGGTGCGCGCGAGAGGAAAGGAAGAAAAATCTCGGATTTCCTCGTTCGGTTCGCCCTTGTCTTTCGCCCTCTCGAGTTTCCTGGATCGTTCTCACCACGCCCAGCAATTTGCCTTGTGCTACAACTTTGCGATCGATTATTCCTCGATTACGGTGTAACGAGATATCCGACCGCACCACGCGCACCGTGGCCCCCATTGTTCGGGACTGGAAACCGGCGCGGCGCAGTCCGTTCTTAAACGTTAATGCCCACGGCCCCGGTACGCGGGACCTGTCGTGAAACAATTATACCCGGAGGCCGAGCTCGCATTCATTCCGAATTACACAATGTGTCGCCGCGCGGCCATTGTCGGGCCGCCGCTCCTGATTGACAGAGAAAGGATACGGCGAATCGGAAGGCACAATGGCCGCCCGGGGAATCCTGGCCGCAAGGAGGTTCGGGGTAGCCGCCCAAAATCAGTTTCGCGTCAAGACGTAATTTAGATCTTGGATCTTGTAAACGGGGAGAGATTTCGTGGTCCTCTCGAGTGGTTTCACCCTGCCCTAAAGTGGTTCACCGTGGCGCGTGATGGTCTTTAACCACCGATCGATGAATACCGGGTTATTTCGGGATGTTCGATCGAACTTACGTCCGAGCAAAGATCTATTAATTACAGACTTGAAATCAGAGATGTATGTTAATTCAATGAAAGGGGATGTACAGAGACACTCGATATTTCCAAGTGTTTTCAAGCGAGAATTCGTTGAAAGGGATTTAACGATCATCACAACTTCGGATCGTTACAATTTGGTTTCATGGAAAAGTATTTCATGGAATATTATAATACGGTACACGACAGGTAGATAGAATTGCTGATGAAATCTGAATCAGTTTCACTAAAGAAATGGCAATAGTAATGCTTCTGTTAGACATAGAAAAAGCCTTCGATAGAGTATGGTTAGGAGGACTTTTTGTATAAATTAATAATATAGAAGTGTAAAATTCATAGCCCCGTATTTACATGACAGACAACATAGAGTAGAAATAAACAATGTTAAATCTATAAAAAGAAAATGATTAGAGCGGGAGAACATTGCTGAATCATATTTCGCCATTTCATAAATAAAGCATGCATTAATCACCACATCTGAATCCCAACAAATGCAGAAGAATTAAGAATTAAGTAGGTTTAACATTAATTGTAAGAACTACGTTTGATCTTAAATGTTTTTCTACTATATAAAATAACAAAGTAACACGACTGTTCTCTCTATAAAAGTTTTGCACTATACAGCAACCTGCATTTTCCTCACACCAATCGTTTAACATTATAAGCAACATTAACAAATGAAGAAATAAATCATAAGGATTATGTTTATATTACTTACTTGCGCATTTCGTGGAATGTATGAAAGGCAGCAAATTGAAAATGTTTACCGAACACACTGGACTGCAAGGCAGAAACTTCTTCTCAGAACGCATAAATTGACCGCGGCATACGTTCTGGGTGACCTGACCCTAGGGTCTGGCAGTTGTCAGCTTTATTGCTATCAGATTCACAGCGGGGAACGAGCGCTAGAATACAAGAAAATTGCCATGTTACTGATATTGTTTCAGCTAACGGCCATATCATGTTGCAAAGAACCGATTCTCGTCCGATCATCGAAGTTAAACAGCGTTGAGCGTGGTCAGTACTTAGATGGGTGACCGCTTGGGAACACCACGTGCTGTTGGCACTATTTTTTTTTATTTATTTCTACTATCTAAGTTAATAAATTCAAACAACTATTCTTTCTCTAATATTTCTGCGTCATGCAGAAAGGTATACGAGGTTAATAACTACTAGTGTATATTACTCACTTATAATTATAATGAACGATTGTCGATGAGCATGGTAATTAGATGTTCCTCGGACACAAGTGAATATCCTTCCTTGGGACCGACGAATCATCTACAGATGTCATCAGTCATCGAACCGCATATTCTGGTTATTTTCGATTGCATTGCTTGTATTCGAGGGCCACCACGAGAGATATGTGCTGGAAAACAAGAAAACGCAATTGTTGTTATTAATACATCGCCAACGGCCATATCACGTTGCAAAGAACCGATTCTCGTCCGATCATCGCAGTTAAACAGCGTTGAGCGTGGTTAGTACTTAGATGGGTGACCGCTTGGGAACACCACGTGCTGTTGGCTCTATTTTTTTTATTTATTCCCACTATCTAAGTTAATAAATTCAAACAACTATTCTTTCTCTAATATTTTTGCGTGTGTGTGATGCAGAAAAACCAAAAGATGTAATAACTAGAAGTGTATATTACTCACTTATATTATAGTATAATGAACGATTACGGGTGAAGGTGGTAGTCAGATATTTCCCAGACATAAGTGAATATCCTTCCTTGGGACCGACAAATCATCTACAGATGTCATCAGTCATCGAACCGCATATTCTGCTTATTTTCGATTGCATTGCTTGTATTCGAGGGCCGCCACGAAAGATATGTGCTGGAAAATAAGAAAACGCAATTGTTGTTATTAATACATCGCCAACGGCCATATCACGTTGCAAAGAACCGATTCTCGTCCGATCATCGCAGTTAAACAGCGTTGAGCGTGGTTAGTACTTAGATGGGTGACCGCTTGGGAACACCACGTGCTGTTGGCTCTATTTTTTTATTTACTTCCGCTATCTCAGTCAATAAACTCAAACACCTTATTCTTTTCTAATATTTTTGCGTCATGCAGAAAATGCATAGGATGTTAATAACTAGTAGTGTATATTACTCACTTATAATTATAATGAACGATTGTTGGTGAGCATGGTAATTAGATGTTCCTTAGACACAAGTGAATACTCTTTCTTTGGGCCCATATATCATCAGCGGATGTCCTCAGAAATCAAACCGCATGTTCTGGTTACTGTCAATTGTACTGCTTGTATCCGTGGGCCGCTACGAAAGATCTGTGCTGGAGAATAAGAAAACGCAATTGTTGTTAGTAATACATCGCCAACGGCCATATCACGTTGCAAAGAACCGATTCTCGTCCGATCATCGCAGTTAAACAGCGTTGAGCGTGGTTAGTACTTAGATGGGTGACCGCTTGGGAACACCACGTGCTGTTGGCTCTATTTTTTTATTTACTTCCGCTATCTCAGTCAATAAACTCAAACACCTTATTCTTTTCTAATATTTTTGCGTCATGCAGAAAATGCATAGGATGTTAATAACTAGTAGTGTATATTACTCACTTATAATTATAATGAACGATTGTTGGTGAGCATGGTAATTAGATGTTCCTTAGACACAAGTGAATACTCTTTCTTTGGGCCCATATATCATCAGCGGATGTCCTCAGAAATCAAACCGCATGTTCTGGTTACTGTCAATTGTACTGCTTGTATCCGTGGGCCGCTACGAAAGATCTGTGCTGGAGAATAAGAAAACGCAATTGTTGTTAGTAATACATCGCCAACGGCCATATCACGTTGCAAAGAACCGATTCTCGTCCGATCATCGCAGTTAAACAGCGTTGAGCGTGGTTAGTACTTAGATGGGTGACCGCTTGGGAACACCACGTGCTGTTGGCTCTATTTTTTTATTTACTTCCGCTATCTCAGTCAATAAACTCAAACACCTTATTCTTTTCTAATATTTTTGCGTCATGCAGAAAATGCATAGGATGTTAATAACTAGTAGTGTATATTACTCACTTATAATTATAATGAACGATTGTTGGTGAGCATGGTAATTAGATGTTCCTTAGACACAAGTGAATACTCTTTCTTTGGGCCCATATATCATCAGCGGATGTCCTCAGAAATCAAACCGCATGTTCTGGTTACTGTCAATTGTACTGCTTGTATCCGTGGGCCGCTACGAAAGATCTGTGCTGGAGAATAAGAAAACGCAATTGTTGTTAGTAATACATCGCCAACGGCCATATCACGTTGCAAAGAACCGATTCTCGTCCGATCATCGCAGTTAAACAGCGTTGAGCGTGGTTAGTACTTAGATGGGTGACCGCTTGGGAACACCACGTGCTGTTGGCTCTATTTTTTTATTTACTTCCGCTATCTCAGTCAATAAACTCAAACACCTTATTCTTTTCTAATATTTTTGCGTCATGCAGAAAATGCATAGGATGTTAATAACTAGTAGTGTATATTACTCACTTATAATTATAATGAACGATTGTTGGTGAGCATGGTAATTAGATGTTCCTTAGACACAAGTGAATACTCTTTCTTTGGGCCCATATATCATCAGCGGATGTCCTCAGAAATCAAACCGCATGTTCTGGTTACTGTCAATTGTACTGCTTGTATCCGTGGGCCGCTACGAAAGATCTGTGCTGGAGAATAAGAAAACGCAATTGTTGTTAGTAACACATCGCCAACGGCCATATCACGTTGCAAAGAACCGATTCTCGTCCGATCATCGAAGTTAAACTGCGTTGAGCGTGGTTAGTACTTGGATGGGTGACCGCCTGGGAACACCACGTGCTGTTGGCTCTACTTTTTTTTATTTATTTTCGCCATCTATGTTAATAAACTCAAACACCCTATTCTTCTCTAATATTTTTGCATAAAGGCATACGATGTTAATAACTAGTAGTGTATATTACTTACTTATTAGTATAATGAACGATTACGGGTGAAGATGGTAGTCAGATGTTTCCCGGACATAAGTGAATATCCTTCCTTGGGACCGATAAATGATTTACAGATGTTATCAGAGTCATCGAACCGCATATTCTGGTTATTTTCGATTGCACTGCTTGTATTCGTGGGCCGCTACGAAAGATATGTGCTGGAAAATAAGAAAACACAATTGTTGTTAATAAAACATCGCCAACGGCCATATCACGTTGCAAAGAACCGATTCTCGTCCGATCATCGCAGTTAAACAGCGTTGAGCGTGGTTAGTACTTAGATGGGTGACCGCTTGGGAACACCACGTGCTGTTGGCTCTATTTTTTTATTTATTTCCGCTATCTAAGTTAATATACTCAAACACCCTATTCTTTTCTAATATTTTTGCGTGATGCAGAAAACGCATACGATGTAATAACTAGTAGTATATATTACTTACTCATTAGTTTTATGCACGATTGCGGGTTAAGATGGTATTGTGAGACATTCCTCGGACACAAGTGAGAATCCTCCCTTGGGACCTACAAATCATCTGCGGATGTCTTCTGTGGTCGAATCGCATATTCTGATTATTGGCTATTGTATTGCTTGTATTCGAGGGCGACCACGAGAGATATGTGCTGAAAAATAAGAAAACGCAATTGTTGTTACTAATACATCGCCAACGGCCATATCACGTTGCAAAGAACCGATTCTCGTCCGATCATCGCAGTTAAACAGCGTTGAGCGTGGTTAGTACTTAGATGGGTGACCGCTTGGGAACACCACGTGCTGTTGGCTCTATTTTTTTATTTATTTCCGCTATCTAAGTTAATATACTCAAACACCCTATTCTTTTCTAATATTTTTGCGTGATGCAGAAAACGCATACGATGTAATAACTAGTAGTATATATTACTTACTCATTAGTTTTATGCACGATTGCGGGTTAAGATGGTATTGTGAGACATTCCTCGGACACAAGTGAGAATCCTCCCTTGGGACCTACAAATCATCTGCGGATGTCTTCTGTGGTCGAATCGCATATTCTGATTATTGGCTATTGTATTGCTTGTATTCGAGGGCGACCACGAGAGATATGTGCTGAAAAATAAGAAAACGCAATTGTTGTTACTAATACATCGCCAACGGCCATATCACGTTGCAAAGAACCGATTCTCGTCCGATCATCGCAGTTAAACAGCGTTGAGCGTGGTCAGTACTTGGATGGGTGACCGCCTGGGAACACCACGTGCTGTTGGCTTACCCTACTTTTTTGCACTTCGTTCATTTGTTATGATGTTAAGGCGCTTAATATATAATTTTTTTTATTATAAATAGCGAAAACATTAAATAATTCAGAAATCGATTAGGTTAACGTATCTACTTCCTATGTTCCTACTTTTATGTTACTTATGATAATCATATTATAGATTTTAATGTGAACTAAATTTTTTCTAACAATTATTCGTTCAGAAGTCTAAGAATTATATGTTTTTCTTCAAAGGGTTAATATGTTAACATTAATATAAAACAACATTTAGTTGAATTGTATAAAATTGTTCCAAAAATTCTTTTCGTTTGTTAAACGGCATAACCATGCAATCGCAAAACTAAATAAACTTTCGGAAGAACATTTCGCATGGCACTACACTTCTCATAAACTTATTTTATGCTACAAATGTATAATAATTCTCAGTCTAGTGTTTAGTTTCAGCAAAGAGACCCATCGATTAAAATAATAGTTATTTTTCCTTGGTTAGGATTACTTACTTCCTTTGTTGACACAATGTGGGCATCTCTCCTGATGAAGTGTTGCAGATATAGGCTCCATTCCAACAGCCTTTTCTCTTCTTATTCACAATTTCTAAACACGTTCTTACGTACCGACCAACGTTAACCCAAAATAGACTACAGCGACAATGTCACTTATAGCGGTTATGTGATGTACGGTGACTTACTTGAACAAATGAAAATGCGCGCTAAATATTCAAATATTACACACTGTATTTGTCTGTTAAAGATGTAATTATTATTTAAACACAACGCGCAGTATGCATAATGGACTTGTTCGTTAAATAGGTGACCGAGTTGAGGTTAAATTACTACGAAATTAAACAACATTCTAATACTACATTCTATATGTATGGAGAAAATACGTTTCAAACGATCTGTTTGTTCCGAGGTGCAGATTCGAACTGACTGCGACAGTCCTATTGACTTCGAAAGCATCTTCGGAAAAAATGGTGCCCTAAGTGGACGTGACCTAAACGCGTTTCGATAATTCGTTCCGCTTGGCCGGGTCGTGAGAAAATATACAAACGTTCTCGACCTTCGAGTGTCTGGCGAAAGTGAAAGTCAGTGAAAGAACGTTTTGAGATTCGTATCATCCTCCTTTTCCAGTTAATATTTTCGTTTCCATCTCGTGAATGATAATTGGATCAAATTTGTTTTTTAAAAACCTCTATTTCAGGATATACTTCAATGCGTTATTCATTATTCATTTCACGCGTTATTCCACTCAAAAAATATCTCCTAAATTAATAATTTTTAGCCTTAAGAGCAACAGTACTTTTCCGGAGAGAATTTCAAGCTGAACTAGTGCGTTAAAAAATCTATAATTCCATTTCAATATGTAATTTTTATAAGACGCTATACGTATACATATATTTATTAAACAAAAATAAAAATATGATAAATAAAACCGATTAAGAACAAAACTGCATGAACTATTCTGAAAATTACTACAATTTATAACAGCTTAGGACAATCTTGAAAGCAACTTATGATGACTTCAATAAAAACCGACCTTCCCACCATGCAGTGCCTCATTATGTGTACCGGGACAAGCCTGTCGCATCACCCGACGGATTCTCGCAATAAGCTGGGCCTTTCAGCCCACAAGACTAGACATAAAACAGATGACCGTTCTCTCCCCCCGCCCGCTCCCCCTCATTTTCTCTGTCTCTTCCGAAACCTAAGCTATTCTCAAAACTCCAAGAGTATTTTTCCGATACTACAAATGTATATTACTTATTACGGTCTGAAAGAAACGCATTATTTTTGATCTCATCAAAAAGCTTTATTTTTTTTTATTGCCAAGCTTTATTATTAACCAGTTAAGTGTGTTTGACGACTATATCCGTCATGGAGATGTGGCAGAATTTTGTGTCATGACGATTATATCCGTCATTCGTAAAATTTTGTTACAATTTGATATTTAAATTGTAATTCTGGCGAAAACTAAATTATATTCGTATAAATTTTAACATGTTTAAAATGTTTAGAGGTCGAAACGAAATGAAACAAACAAATGAAAATTATAAATAACTCGAGTTGGATTCATAACTATACCCGTCGTCGCTCGATTATCGCCACAGTTAACTGGTTAATTGTTGTTAATTCTTCTTCTAGGACAATTTCACTTTGAAAAGACTACAAAACATTTCGAATCGTCGCGATATCTCGTATCGGTCATTAGTGACCCAACGACCGAGCCGTAAGTAGGTTGCGTGGCAAATGCATAAAGCGCTACAGACGGCGAATCGGGGGCGAAGTAAGCTCGCGCCGCTCTAAATAAAGGAAGAGACACAGGCTGGGCCGGCACGGTGCTAATTGAACTATCAATCTTCATTAGAAAACGGCTTAATTACAGTACAAGCTCTCCGGGCAGAACTCGTCCGCCGTGACCATCTCTCCTTCGTCTCCTTTTCTTCCGGTGTCCCGGAAAGTTTAATAATTCCGAAACCTTGGCGAAGATATAAATCACAGAGGGTCCTCTTCTCCCAGGTTGGCGTCCTCCTTTCCTCCGTCTTTCTCGCTGCGCCGCGGCCATAATTCGAAAAACTTTCGGGGGAACAAAAGTGAGGACTTTTGTTCCAAGTTTTAGTTCGCCCCCCTCCGTGCACCCCGCCGCGGCCGGGGGCGCTGTGTTTGCGGAGCGACGCCCCGACAGTGTTTTGTTCGCTTTGTCTCTCTTCCTGTTAGGTATATAATGCCGTAACTGCCCGGACCATCTTCGCGTTCCTCCTTCGCGTCCAACCACGAAACGAGAGGTTCCGAGTTTCCATCTTTCTCTCTCTCTCTCTCTCTCTCTCTCTTTCCCTCTGCGCCTTTTGCTCCACAGTACTCAACCGTCTCTCTTCCACACACGCGGGCGCGCGCGCGCTCACACGTACACGCATATATATGCACACAGAACCCGAGGAGACACGGCAAAGTACGCGAAGTATATACGCAAAATTGTCGAGGGTCTCGCGGAGTTTTTGCTGGCGAGAGAAAGACGGAGAACCGAGCACCGCCTACGCCACATAGAACCCACTGAACAAGTTCATTCCGATTCTTCTTTATACCCTTTCAACGGGGCCACTAAATCTTCGTTATGTAATTCGTTAAACGTTCGAACGCCTTCCACGATTAATGGCCACGAGGACTCGGGACTCGTCGCATTGTTGACGCAGACAATTTTTGACACTTCGAGGGGGAATGTCGACATAGCAGACATGCATATAACAGCATGACTGCATAGGTATGCGCATTCTATCCTGAAAGTTGCACGATAAAACATCAGAATCGTTCGTTTTTCGTTTCGTTTTTACTTATTAACCTTTTGCACTCGAAGCCATTTTAACTGTGAATCTGAAATAATTTTTCTGACCTACGCTGTCTCTATTTTATACGACAGAGCGCATTTTTTATGCGTGTGAAATTGAGTCTTGTGACTTATACAACAGTTATACTTTTAACAATATTTCAAATCTAAATTTTGATGATGCAAGAATTATTTTGGCATGTGAAACAAACATTCTTCAGCGGTGCCTCGGAGTCACCACTCGAGCGTAAAAGGTTAATGTCTTTGACCCTTAAAGTCTCATGTTCGGAGTGGGTTAACTACCATAATGATGGAAAAAAGTAAAAAAGCAATACCGCGTATCCAGTTAAATAATGATATATATTTTATCCAGAGTATGTACATGTGCTATTTAACCCCTTGACATGCAATTTACGCAATTTACGATACAAGTGAATAAAAGTGAATAAAATAATAAGTAAAGGTGAATAAAAGTGAATAAATTCAATAGAAAACTGTGAAGATATTGGAGGAACTTAAAATAATGATATTATTAATTTTAATAATATCACTGTTGCAATATTGTCGTCTTATCAAAATTATTAAGAGAAAAAAAGTTTGATGCAGTATGTCTCCTAACCCCTTGACATGCACCGACGAGTTGGAGTTGTCATTTATTTCATGTGCCACCGTAGACTTTGACGAGTCGAACTCGTCAAAAGCTGTTTTCCGCGGAATAATTTCGTGCAGTATATTATTATATTTCTCAGTTGCTTCGCTCGTGCGTCGATTCTGGTTTGTTTACGATGTTCAAGATGCCCCACCCTCCCACCTTCTCGACGGTACCAACAACAAAGTTGCGTCCACGTAATCCAAATTTCAAAACAAAACATTCTCTTTCTCAGCTTGCACGTAACTGTTCAGTCGAGCCAAATTAAATAATATTTCTCGGACGCATGAAATTCCGTCTTATTTGTATGTCAAGAGGCTAAAATTGACTCAGGCATTTTGCATAAAATTTCGCAGTCTAATCATTTCGGACTACAGTTGTTATTGATGGAAAAAAGCAATACCGCGTATCCAGTTAAATAATGATATATATTTTATCCAGAGTATGTGTACACGTGCTGTTTAGTGTCCTTTTAAATCCGTTTATATAACTGCGACAGACTGCCTAGAACGCACTGTTTGACCCAAGCAACTGAAACAAAAAACTCAACGCACACAGAATAACGGCCGAGGAGTAACGATGCCTCTGGGCACCAAGGAGAACTATGATCGTTGAATGCCAACACATAAGCCTCATAATATCAAATCTTGATTTGAAACTGTAACATAGACAATTGACAACGAAATATTTAGAACGATCGGTTTTGAAACATTTCGAATTGTCCGAAGTTACGTTGCTTTTAATCTGTTTTAATTTCAGATTCGAAATACATACATTCTTCGGCAGATTTGTCTTCTCCGATGATACTATTTCAAATAAATTAGTTTAAAATCTCTCAAATTAATTCGAGAGCCGAAAACTTTCAATAATCAGTAACTTTCTAGCTTGAAGTCTGCTCGCATAAACTGTTCGCCCGTGTGGGGTTGTTCCTCCTCCCCGTCGGGGAGGTTGAATCGAGTCGGTAAGCTGCGGCAGGAGAAGTCAGACCGGTTATTACAAGGTAAGGAGTTAATCGAATCGGTATCGAGACGCGGTCGCGTCTCGTCGCAGACGCGCGAGACCGGTACGACCTAATTAATTTATTCTCCCGGCGCGAACGCATCGTATTGATTGATGCACGCGACGATACCGCGACGGCCTAAACCGGCTAGGGATAATTTTCACTTGGGAACAGGCGGCCACTCAGACGCGACAGGATCGTTTTCAACCGACCAGCTAGCTCGGGAAAGGGAGAGAGTAAGAGAGAGCGAAAGAGAGAGAGAGAGTGGGAGCGGAGAGGGCGGCCGTCTATTTTTCGTTTTTTCGGCGGGACGAAGCGACGGCACAAGGAAGAAGAACGGGAGAGACGTGGTAGAGTACGATGACAGCGGAAAGACACGTCCGCCATAGAGAGAATGTCGATCTCGTGTTTTGCGAACGGCGGGAAGACACGCGGAATGGACGTTTGTCGATATCGTTTTCACCGAACGACACGAACGTATAAGTTACGATGATGTGAGGGCAGGGATCCATTAGACTATGCAATTGTCCACGTATTGCATTGTCAGCCACCATGGAGATTTCTATTCAGAAATCGCGGAAGTCCCCGGGCACGCATTGACGAGAGATAGGGGATGATCGAGGACCGCTCTTGTTGCGAGAAGGAAGGAGACACGACAGAGAGCGAGAGAGACCGGGAGAGAGACGGACGACGGTGATCGACAAGGATACTGGTTATCTCGTATTTCTCTTTTTCTATTCCTAAACGACAGTGCGGCTAATGGATTTCATGAACGACTGGTAGAATCTTCTTATCGTAGTCGGGACTTGCACGCGGCTTTTTCGAAAACAAAACTATCGCAACGGGCTTTTACCACTTTCCGCAGGATTTTGCCAAAATTTGGCGAACTTCTCCATGCACGTTACGGAAATGGACAATTTCAGAAGAGGAGATACGATT